GGGGGGGGGGGGGGTTCCGGAAAGTTCTGTAGCCCTTTTGAAGAGCTGTTATTATTTGATGCCCCGGCTACAGCACCGTACTTTTGACGGAGCCGCGACACTTGTCTGGGATATGCGGTGTGCACTGGTACCCCTCGAGGGGAGGGTATGACTCCACCCTAGAAAGCCAACCTCAAACTCCGTATCCTTGTTCCATCGAACGTCTGCTCCAAAAGAGACGCTCATACATCGTAAGAGAGTGCCCCCCCCCCCGCCCAAGAAACCATCATCCATGTAGATTGTTCAGAAATACTACCTTGCCCGCTGTCGTGCCTCTAGATGGAGGTTTGTTTCCTACCGTCTGTTTCGCTAAGAACATGCTCAGGTTCCACACCCTTGCAATGAAGCTACTTTGCTTGGATGACTGCTATCATACTACTACTGTAGCCCCTAAAAACATGGGAAGGCAATCGGAACGTCGTGCGTGATAGAAGCGAAGAAAATAAAGCGAAGAAAAATACGTAATTACAAAAGCAATAGAGTACAAGACAGCCGCCTTTCATGCCAGTAGGAAGTTTTGGTCTGCCATCCGACAAGGGTTCGCCAGGTGAACGGTACGCGCTAAACACGGCCCAGTGCAGCGTGCAAAACACTCATCGTCTTTCTCGATGCACTGGTTTCGTGCATCCCACCCATCCATCCGTTCACCCAGCTCGTGTCTCCTCTGTCCCTCCGACGACGGAGCATAAGCCTTCCTGCACACGGACGCTACTCCTCCTACTGCAACAGGTGCTGCCACCGTTTGACTACTCGCCATCGCCGTCACCATGCCTCCTCATCACCAATCCTCCTCATCACCATCTATCGTTCCGTTGATCACCACTCTAGAAGGTTGCCCTGCGAATCTCCGGGGCAGAACTCGATGATGTAGGACATGCTGTTCTTGCCGTTGTGGTCGTTGTTCTCGTCTTCGTTACGGCACACGAACGTCGAAGAGTGGTCGTCGTACGGGAAGCAGTCTGAAACCGTCATTCGAGCACAGCGGGGGAGGAAGACAAGGTTAGGCGGTTCAGGTTGATAACAAAAAAGTCCCTGCGAAAACGGGGAAGAAAGATACTGCGGTAGATCGAATGCGTCAAACGATGCGCCTAGATGGTGATGTTTCCCAACTACCAATATACGCAGGCGGTTCTAGAGCACCTACCCACGCTTATTTATGCGTCCCGCGCCTCTGTTCACCTACACATCCACACGGACTGCTACCAGGACTCGTTTCTTGATGAAGTACTGCATTTCGAGAACGAAATCATCATCGTTCAGCCTCGGGGAAGGTATGTAGGGTGAGTCACTGCAGGCTAGGCGAAACGAGGATGGTTCGCCCTGGTGGTCCACTGTAGGTAGTATCCTCAAAAACCTTCCGGCAGCTAGGTTGAAGGTTCGTTGAACGGCGAGGTGTTTATCCCGCGTTTCCTTGTGTATCCTACTGTGAACATAAAAACGCTTTCCAAATGCACGAGTGTCGGCGCCGGAACTGCCGAACCCTTTTCGCGTTAAAAAATGAAGGTATGCACCACAGAGTCATGTTTTCTGTGGCGCCGGATCCTGCTCGGAGGGGTGAGACAGGCAAGACCGAACGGCAGGGGAAACGTGCGAGCAATGTATTATTATGCTTGCCGAACCTCCCCCCCTCCCTCTCCCAAACTCGACGGTTCTACTCAGGGAGAGTATACTGGTGGTGTACACAAGATAGTTTAGTGCGGATGATTTAGTCTTGTGTACGGAGCTTACATGCGGTGGGGCAGGCGCGCTTGAGGTACTTGAGCCACGGCACGGACAACGCCTCCCAGTATGGGTTCTTGCCGTAGCATGTAGACTCCGACGGGGCGTTGATGCCCAAGGCGGGCCAGTCGGGGCAGCCGCACGCCGTGTCGTCCGCGTTCCTGCTGTACCTGCTCGGTAGAAGAAGCGGTAGCAGAAGCAACGGTCGTGATAGAAACAGCAGCAACAGTAGCAGGAGCAGGGAAAACGAACATGCATTTGCTTGTGAAGAGTCAGATTGGGAGCTGCCGAAGCGCACAACAACTCAATGTACCAGTGTCATCAAGGTTAAACATTGCCGTAGTTGCTCTCACGGATTTTTACGAACACATCGCTCGAATTTGAGGGAAAACTCGAGGCATTCTTACCCGGACAGCCCATATATGGGGCCGGCGCAGCCATAGATGTCGGAATGGGTGGAGTTGTCCCCGATCACTTGCATCGTTTGTTTTTCGCACATGAAAGGGAACGAGTTGGGGAAGTACCTAGTGCGATGATGTGTGGATAGACGAAAAGACGGAACACACGAAAGGGGTCACGGCGGGAGGGAGGGTACGTGTGTGTGGGGGAGGACAGTGCATGCATACACTGTTACTTCGTTGCCACCAACGCGCTATCCAACCACGCCTATCGTTCCGCCTGCTCGCATACTCCATGGCCCATTGTCATGCTCTTGTCAAATTGTAGCACAATATGTGCCACCTGTCAAACAATTCTCGGTCCGCATCATGACTTCTAGTGCCCTCGTTCCCCCTCTACAAGGGTACGAAATCATGCGGTGCCATACTTCTATTTTCTTCCTTTGGATAAAAACTAATCCACCAACCTGGAGACAGGCGTGCACGAGAGGTGTCGCCCCTCTCTCCCCCCCCCCTTCCTCTAAATCTCTTAATTGTCAAAGACTGACACCGTTTTCTTCATTTTGTCGTGTCTGAGTCCAAGGCTATACTTTCCTTTTCGTATCCCTGTCAATCACTTTGACTGGTGGTAGGAGTTTCACCCCAGCATTCCTTTCTGTTAACGGAGAAAAAAAACGTCGGACCCACCCAAAGAAAAGCCAATGCTTCAAGAACAAACCATCTGCGGTGCGTCTGTCGAGCACTTCAGCGGCAGCTTACCCAAGCGGCTTCGATCTCGAATTTCCGCAGATGGCGTTGGGGCTGTGCCACCCCAGGTTGGAGCCGCACTTCTTGGGAAACATCTGGCACGGTCGTGGTGCAAACATCCCGCAGAGTGGAATAATAGTGAAAGGGTGGGTGTTATGTTTTTATTTGCTCAGGTGGTGTGACCGTAGAAAGTTACCAGCGACGGCCGCCAACCAAGGGATGGGGCGATCGATGAAGGCGGTCATAGCACGCCGCAACACTACCCAACACATCACACATAGTGTGTTGAGTACTTCGGTCGACACACTATGCATGCCAGCAATACAGTACCATCCGCACCTCTTCTGTGACACCGCCGTTGAGTGTGTCCTGCCCGAAAAGCGCACCGCACTTCAGCTTCTGGCCGACACCCTCGCCTTCCACATCCTCGCAGTCAGAATCGTCTTCGCAGTCGGCGAATAGACCGTCGTTTCGAACCCAGCGGAGGTACCTATTGTATTGTAGCGGTGTGACATTTCAGACGAGGGTTCCACCGTTCGGTTGGCTTCGGTCTTTTGATGGTGCACGCGTGATATGAGTGAAAGGGTACGGTATAGACTGGATCCATACGTTTGCCGGTCGGTATATTGTAGGACGATGAGTCGACGCTAACGAGGGCGCCTGCATTGTTGACATATGAACGGCGACTTCGATCCTTCTTCTACTGGCGCCGCGCAGAGCATCGGCGCACGAGCGCGCGCACTGCTTGCAGGAAGAGAGGGTTGTGGTAGTTGTGGTGATTTTGGTTGTTGCCGTTGTTGGTTGTTGTTATGGCCTTCCCGTTCAGAGGTCGTCTTGGGGTATGTAAACTTAAGCGTTTGTGAACGGGAAACAAACCGCCACCACCACACCACCACACCCGACAGCAACAACAAGTTCCAGACACCAAACCATGCGGCTTGTACACACACATACTTGGACATGTCGTGGTCGGGAAAGCCGTCGATCTCGGTCGCATCGAACTCCCAAGTGCATCCTTCTAGCTCTTCGCTCATCGAAGTAACGCCTCCGGGGTTAGAGCACCAGTCTAGGAAAAAAGTAGAGAGAGGAACGCGGGGAAGGACATGAAAACGAATCAGTCTGATATATCAAGAACAGATAAATTTACCTTTCACGGTACGTACACACCGGGAAGGAGAAGAACACGGCTTCTTGGTTCTCCTCTGAAAATCTGACACGCCGAAAACTGGAGACGGCCGTCATTGTCTACCGGTGGTAGTGATGTCTCTCTATTAGATTCTTGTGTGTAGCCCGCAATACGTTGAACCAGGAAATAAATTTCGATCATCGCTGTATGCACGTGCTTCGACACGTTTCTTCAAAATTCTCTTGCTGAATGAAATCGCCATGTCGAAACCATCTCGCTACATGACGTTTCGTCGCTTTGCAGTCCATCAACCTGGTATCACGCTTTAGCTCGTACTGTCGTCGTGGGACGAACTGCATAAATGCTAGCGAAGCCATGCCCCAAATTTTCTACGTGGCGATGTCGCCCCAACTACTCCTTGGCCAATCGCCACCACGTCTGGGGCAGACTCTGCACCCACTACGGTGTCCCCGTTGCCATCTACCAACCACTGCAAACTTGAATCTTGCTTCTTTTCGGCTTTTCGGTGACGCTCGCATACTCACAAGGGTCTTCGAGTTTCTCCAACGGCGAGCTGAGCGGATCGGGCTTCATCTCGACGGGGATGTTCACGCCGTCGATCGCGGTGACATCGTAGTAGTCCACCCCCGTATCCACCTGTTGCATAACCGACGGGACACGCACGTGCCCGACACAAGAGAGAGAGATGGGAGGAGCGACGCGAGTCGAACGTACCGGCCGGGGGAAGGAGAGGGGATAGGGAGGGTACGGTCGAAGGGGTGGATGATTGGTGGTGGCGGTGCGCGAAATTTCCATCTTGACGGTCTTGACGCAAAAGAGCGCATGTATGTTTGATGTTTTTTCTATCCATACTCCGTATATGCATTTGATCGACGGCCTTCGGTTGGAAAACCCACCAGAGTGAACTCGGCCTTAGTGACGGGACCGGTGGGTCCCGTGGAGGGAGGGCAGAAGCCGTCCGGGTAGCCGATGTTCCGCAGGCAGGAGGCCGTCTCGCAACCCACTTTGCTGTGGCACCCGGTCGCGGCCCACATGTTGCCGCTCCATCGCACACCTAGAACGCCGTGACAACCACATATAGATGACACAAGCGCAGCCGGAACGCCGTAGAACATGTTTCTATCGTACCATCTACATGCGGTATCCAGTCGATATCCCCCCGGGCCCCAGTCTCTCCCAACCTCCCCCCTCCACTTAACATTGGCGGGGACCCCCGCCATGCGTTGAGTGCGGTAGGTTCAGCCCGGCCACGCTGGAGTGCACGAGAGGCTCTGCAGTATGGTTTGACAACTTGAAGCTCATCGAACCCCGAAACAACCGCTTGAGAGCAGCAGCCTCAAAGCGGGGGGACCTGTCTCTTCATCTTACTGGGAATACACCGGGACAACAGCAGCAGTAGTCCTTCTCTGGCGAGATGATGGCGCATGTTACGTCCAGCCGAAGTTCGAACGAACAAGTCGAGCAACGGAAAACCGGAGCAAGACTAGCAAACCACGCGCCCTGTCTTGTGCGTACCATTCACGGCCTTGTTGTCGAGGATGAGCTCGACGGACCCTCCTGGTTCGATGTCGAAACTCTTCCCGTCTTCGGGCAGCGGTAGCCCCCAGAAACAGGCCCCGACCTTCGAGGATCGAGGACCAGCAACGACAGCAACAACACGCAACCGAGTGCAGCATTCAAGCGGAAGGCGGACGGCAAGACCTTGTAGTCACACAATCTAAAATATGCAGTTGGTACACCCTACCGTGGTACGTATTTGGGCAAACCAGCACCAACGGCCAAGTACGCGAATCGATTAGGGAAGGGTGTGCGCGCGTGGAAGTGCGGGGTATGTGAGATAGCGACATTTTAGAACCATTTCGCTGCCCACATTCCGAGACGGGAGGTAGGCAAGGCTCTCGCTCTCGCGTGAAACAAGGCAAGCACCTCCGTTGGTGGGATATGATTCGAGCCATGCACGTTTATCCCAGTCTCATTGCTTGGTGTCGCCAAGCGCTTCAGAAAGCATTCTCGTGCACACTAACAAGATAAGCTCTTGTTGGGTCTTAGGACTTTATGAGTCTAAGGGTAGCCGAGAGGACGCGTGGGGGGCGGACGGAGGGAGAAAGGGAGGGAAGGAGGGAGGGTGGTTCACTACATATAGAAGCGTCTACATGCCCTTGTCTGTTGAGCAGTTGTCATGTCGTGCCGTCAGGCCGAGATCGTATTTCTCCTGTACCACTTGTATTGTGGGACATCGTACTTCTCCATACCACCTGTATTGCGGGCGCATAGCAGTTACCATGGCCAACGCTTATCGTCTTTTCGGGACTTTGTTGTTTGTAATAGCCTCGTGTACCTTGCCTATAGCACTATTGGTTCTTCTCATGCCATTTGTCTGCAGACATTCGGTTGTAATTCATTCTCCACTGAACACTCGACATCACAAAAACCATTCCCTGTGCACCTCTCTCTCTCTCTCTCTCTCTCTCTCTCTCTCTCTCTCTCTCTCTCTCTCTCACCGCTTTGTCCAGCACGCTCCCTTCGGGACACGACTCCACGGTGGGGTCGTCCAAAGCCTTCACGTACCCTCCGGTGGCCCCAAGCCTGACCTGCTCGAAGCAGCTGTTGATCACGGTGAACTTCCTCCGAGGGACGCCGTCGCTCTCTTTCGGTCCTTCTTGCGCCTTTTGGGTGAATTCGAGCGTACAAGATGAAGGTACGGGATGGGATAGGTCGGGACGTGCTGAGTAGCTGACGGAGGTAGGAGACCCCTTCCGAAGAAATACGCATGGTCTTGAAGTCCGAACAAAGCATCAACGAAGTAATACCGTTACGTGGCCTCCTGTTTGGCCGTCCACGACATACCAGGGATGAAAATACTCCGCTAATGAACGGAGCAATCAGCGTAAGACCAGAGTCAATGGCATTACAGATCTGTTTATTTGTACATCGAACCGACGATCTGTCTGTCTGTCTACATGTCTGACTGTCTGTCTGTCTGTCTGTCTGTCTTTCTGTCTGCCTGTCTGTCTGTCTGTCAGTCTCAGTCACTCTCAATCTCTCTCTCGCTCTCTCTTGCTCTCTCTTGCTCTCTCTCTCTCTCTCTCTCTCTCTCTCTCTCTCTCTCTCTCTTCCTCTCTCTCTAGTCTCACCGCCAGCTCCTCCTCCGTCATTTCCGTGGGGTCCCCCACGATGTAGATCGAGTTGGACCACGGTCCACCGCAAATGACGTTCTCGTCGCCTCTGCAGGGCATGTTGCAGGTGTCGGTTGGAATCGCGTCCCTCTCGGCAGTGTAGTACGTTTCCGCGCAGAAGCAGTCCTGAGAGTACTGCAGCGCCATGTACTTATACCTGGTCAGGTGTAGGGAGTGTGTGGGGAGTACTCTTATGTTTTCCATGCCTCGGCGGTTAGACCGTTCACCACGCGTCCTCGAGAGGACGGAAGGGGCGGGGGGCAGTCTACTGATTGCTTTTAAGAATATGCTTTTCTAATTTGGAGAATGTTGCTGTTGCGACTGGGCGACTCACGAGCGCATGTCTAGGAATGCTCTCAATAGGGCGATAGAAACAGACGCGCGGGTTGTCGGCATGAACTACTAATTTCGTTACAGGCCCTCCTGGTTTTCAGTTCTCGTTATACTTTCTTCTTTCCATTGAAGGGAAGAAATACGCATCCAGCTTCAAATCTAGCCTAATTGGATGTAAGCATATTTTTCTATTGTTCTCGTGGAGTATCCTTTGATATTGGTCCCATTGTGTGTATGTGGGTTGTGCGTATGCTACTTGCCCCAGTGATGAGTCCACCGATCACCCTATTCAGTCACTACTTGCGTCGTCGGGGGGGCAGGAGGGTCGGTAAACATCGGCGCGAGATGACCGCTCTGGGCTGGCTTGGCCTCCACGGCAATAGAAGATGGACAGCAGCATAGATTGGATGTGGGTGCCGCCGAAACACAAGAAGGACGGATGAACTGCTCGTAACCTCACACGACAATCTACTGGTCCGTGCACCATGCTCCTTCGCCCAGGGCGCCTTGAGGCTCACCCTGTTGCTGCTATGGTTGGCGTAAAGTAGAAGTCTTGTCCTGGTACCTCACTTGTGCTTTGAGGGAGTCATGTCATCATCCTCTCCATCACAAACGCAAGCCTTGTGCGGGTTACCGCGAAGACTTCCCGCTAACATGTGTGCGGGTCGAATGGATTTCACCACATCACCCGAAAAATGGGCTTGTCCTCGTGGTTTCGCAACACTACAACAACATTCGCCCCGAATCTACAAGCCGCCTGGATTTGGCACAAGTCTGACACAAATACCGAGCAACTTTATCGGGACAGTGTGGATCTCACAAGGCTGTGGCGGATTATCCATATCCTGGTGTCAACGCCTTTCTCTCTATGTATCCCTTTCTCTCTATCGATCGACTATTTGATCGAATCTCAACGTGACTTGTCTCCATGTTTTCTTCCATTTCTATCTATCTCTCTCCCTCACCCGGAGCAGAACTCCGCACAAGATTGGGGAGTGAGGTTCTCGTCTTGCATGCTCTTGTCGTCGAGGAACCTCGTCAGCCCCGTGCGGTCGTCCATGAAGCATCCCACGTACGTCAATCCCGACGAAGTCAACGGTGGCACGGTCGGCGGGGACACCGGCGCTGGAGTGACGATGTTGTGGAGACAGATGGACACCTGTTTGTTCGGCGATGTGTTATTAGAGGTGTGGGGTGGGACTGCCGTGGTTATTGTGATTTCGAATGCTTGCTGGCAAAACGGCAATGGATAAACAATCCTACCCCAAGACAGGATCAAACGATAGGAGAAAACAGGAGCGAGCTCGGTTAAAGGAACACCTGGCAGGTACTTGACGCGCTATGTACCTAAACAGGCGCGAGCAAAGCGCCGTGCATCAAAGTTGGAAAGTTGGCAAGCAGGCGTGTTGATAGCTGCAGCTATAGAAAAATCCTCAAGTCCTAGTGGCAGGGACATACGGTGGCAAGTTTGCGGCATGAGAGCAAGTGGTCTAGACTGGTGTTGTTTCGCACTGACCTCCGCGACGGCGTTCCATGTTCCTGCCGTGGTGCCCTTGAAGTCGAGGCGAACCTTGGACCCTTCCGCGGGCTCCTCGAAGTAGAACGTCTCGTAATCTTGGGTCTGCCCTCCGCTCTCGATGTCCTTCTTCTTGGCCACGACGTTGTCGAACTTGTCGTATAGGGTCATCTGAAGAGCGGTATGCCCGGGACAGGGCGCGGCAGGAGCAGGACAACAAAGTAAGCTACGAAGTGGCGTCATATGGATTCGATAGGGAAAAATTGAAGGGGGGGGGGGGGGGGGGGGGGGGGGTCACTTGGTTGCCTTCGTGTNGTGGCGTCATATGGATTCGATAGGGAAAAATTGAAGGGGGGGGGGGAGGGAGGGGGGGGCGTCACTTGGTTGCCTTCGTGTTCGGACCACGGGTCCCATCCTCCTCATTGTTGACGGAGCGCCGTTCGTATTCCTTCAAGAGGGGGGAGATATATCTGTTTCCTGGCTGGTCAGGAGAAATCTCCGGACCTTCGGCGCGCGATTGCTTCTCCGTTTTACCGAACTTGTTCCTCAAGTGTCTACAGGCATCACAGAGTAAATTGGATTTACACATCTCTTGACGACGACGTAGTTTGTGTTTTCTGCTAAGTCTCGTCGAAAAGGTAGTAGATTCCTCGATCTAAACATTGTGTACGCACAGCGGTCAATCGAAAGAGCACTTTCCGTACACGCGTTTTAGGAGGCGCTTCTCTCTGCAAACCTCCTCTCCTTCCCTCTCCCCTTATTTTCTTTCTCTCCAAAACAACTTCTTACATCGAAAAAGGCACTCCTCCTGTTCCCACGCATGAAGGCGATGGCTACGCCGCTGACGTCTGAATCGCCGTCCTCGCCGCCCTCGAATTCGATGTCCATCCACCTGTTTATGCCTCTTCTCCCCCACCTTTCAATATCCAACAAGCCACAACAATAACTGAGCGTCTGCATAAGATAACTTGTTTGAACAAGTTCGTAGACTAGTCTGTTGATATATTCGTCAGCGTAAGAACGTCGGCGTACAGTAGTGCGAAAATACCAGCGTCGCACAACTTCCACTCTACAGTCGACGAAATATCTCCACGAACAAATCAACCTGTAGTTTTTGGTCTATCTGCCCAAGCTCACGGTGTTCATGTGTACATATCTTATCCACTTTGCTCGGGCCGGTTGTTTTAGACGCTCACCAGGTCGAAGGGTCACCGTCAATAGCGTGTTCGGCGATGTTACCGGTCTCCGGCTTGTCGTGTTTCACTTTCACGGAGGTCATATCCGCGGGGATTGAGCATCCTTCAAGCAGGACGGTCGGGATGCTCGAACTGATGCCGTCGAAATATAGATCCGTGGAGTCAGAGTCATCCTCGGTCCGGACATCGTGCCTCAACTTGCGTTCGAGCGGGAGAGGCTTGCTGCCGCCGGTGATATCACCGTGGTTTGAGAACAACAGCCCGTCTTCCTCCACCTCCTCCAGCGGCTTCTTGATAGTGGCGTCGCCAAGAGCGGTTGCCGGGGTGTCGATTGCCGACGCTGCAGCTTCCGCGGAGAGCATGAAGCCGTTGCCCCGGTTGGCCGTAGATAAGGATGATGATGGCAGGAATGACGAAGAAGGATAACCACCGACAAAAACCATGGCGACGAAAACGAGGGAAGCGCGGATGCCATGGCCGTGCAAGTTCCACGGCATCGTCGAGCGATGCTCCCCCCCCGCGACACGAGGCGTAGATGACGGTGTCATCGTTCTGGTGCTCTGTTCGTGCCGGCTAGGTAAGCGATGACACTTCTTGCTGTGTTCGTCCGTTTCTTAGCCTATGGGAGTTGTGGCAAGCACGCAAATGATTGATGATGTGCCGTGACGAGTTGTACATGAAACGTTTTTTTTGTGGGTGGCGTGTACTGACGAACAATGGAAGTCCTGTTTGGTTGTAGTTGGATGCGGGAGTGGTCTGGAGTTCTCGAAGAAACTCCCAAATCAGTTCAGCAATGAACAGAAGACGTGAGTTGGACAGCAGGTAGGTCGGTGCCTGCAGCACCTGTTGTTCCAACGAGGCGGTATCGACTCGCGGTGATTGAATATCGTAGCCCTTTCCCGTGGAGGTTCGCACACTCTTTTCCCGAAGCGCCCAAAGATTGATGATATACCGTGACGAGTTGTACATGAAACGTTTTTTTTGTGGGTGGCGTGTACTGACGAACAATGGAAGTCCTGTTTGGTTGTAGTTGGATGCGGGAGTGGTCTGGAGTTCTCTAAGAAACACCCAAATCAGCTCAGCAATGAACAGAAGACGTGAGTTGGACAGCAGGTAGGTCGGTGCCTGCAGCACCTGTTGTTCCAACGAGGCAGTATCGACTCGCGGTGATTGAATATCGTAGCCCTTTCCCGTGGAGGTTCGCGCACTCTTTTCCCGAAGCGCCCAAAAATATGCTCCAAGAAGTACTTTTTTTGCTGTGGTACTACAGCAGTAGTTGTATGCACGTTGTACTCTACACTAAAGCAATTGTGCTNACACTCTTTTCCCGAAGCGCCCAAAGATTGATGATATACCGTGACGAGTTGTACATGAAACGTTTTTTTTGTGGGTGGCGTGTACTGACGAACAATGGAAGTCCTGTTTGGTTGTAGTTGGATGCGGGAGTGGTCTGGAGTTCTCTAAGAAACACCCAAATCAGCTCAGCAATGAACAGAAGACGTGAGTTGGACAGCAGGTAGGTCGGTGCCTGCAGCACCTGTTGTTCCAACGAGGCAGTATCGACTCGCGGTGATTGAATATCGTAGCCCTTTCCCGTGGAGGTTCGCGCACTCTTTTCCCGAAGCGCCCAAAAATATGCTCCAAGAAGTACTTTTTTTGCTGTGGTACTACAGCAGTAGTTGTATGCACGTTGTACTCTACACTAAAGCAATTGTGCTTGTCGTCAATATGTGCACACATCTCGCCGTGCCACCGCCCAAACGTCAACCTGTCTCATGGTATTAGTCGGTGGGGACGATTCTATGGGACCTTCTCTCTCTGCCGGGAATATCAGCGTTGTCCTCTCTAATGACTACTCAACCGAATTATGCATGTAGACTAGACTATAGACTATGTTGAGGTATGCAGAGGTTCCTGCAACAGTGCTGGACCGAACTACAATTCGTGTGCAACGTACGCTACCATAGGACTTGTTCGTTATCTGCTGAACTCCTGCGCCCTACCTGGTCTTCTCGCTTCTTCTTCCCAAACACGGGAACCGCCGAATGTGCTGGGTGAGCGCCATCACCGAGAAAAAAGCGCGGCGTTTCTCTCGACGGCGCGGCGGAAAGAAATGCGGACAAAAAAAAAGCTGTAACGGCAGAACGGCAGGGAACCTGGAAACCCTTTGCTGGCGTTCTCGACAAGCACACACACACACCCTTGCAACAAAAAAAAATACTCACCATCCACAAAGATCCCTGCAGCAAACGTCGTGGCCAATGTCCGTACTGCACTACGATAGCCACGCCACTTGGGGGATATATGTTGCTGCTGTGCACAACAACAAGAAGTTTGAGCAGCATCGAACAAGAACCTTTTTTTTTTGCACATAGTCTACACGGCCTGCCCCCCCCGTCCCTGGGGAAGGCCGAGGTTCCTCAAGTAAGTGGATGTAGACCTCGAAAGACCACCCAGCAACGACGAATATACGGTCCCTAGCACTGTTTAGAGGGGGATCCTGAGTTTGGCGGTTAGTAGTTACTGCTTTCGTGAGATCGGGGTAGCTCCTGAGCCGCCAGCTTTGGTAGCTGCAAAAGAATGAGGAGACTGGATCCTGACGCCCCGGCTTGGACACCGGGGCTATGCAGCAGCAGAGAGCACGGTGAGGGTGGCTGAGTGGCCGCATGCTGATAGTAAAAGCTTACTACCCATTAGACTACTCAGTCAGCAAGGCTTACTACCCATTAGACTACTCAGTCAGCGCTGACTGAGTAGTCTAATGGGTAGTAAGCCTTTACTATCAAAAGATGATACACTCTCGGCTCGTAGAATCCCGGGCGCTGACTGAGTAGTCTAATGGGTAGTAAGCCTTTACTATCAAAAGATGATACACTCTCGGCTCGTAGAATACCGGGCTGTGAGTAGAGATCTCCGGGGACGGATCCCTCGCCAGGCGCTGCCGAGAGTGGGTCTCCGACCGCGCGCCGTTGCTGACCCCGCCGCTGGAGCTGCCGGCGCCGGCGGACGAGGGGGGAGATTCGAATGTCGCCGCCGCACCGTTTCTAATTGAGTATATTTCACCGCCTCTCTTACCCCCCTCACCGTATGCCCGACCTCCCACTTCACCCGCTGCCATACTCTCACAGGCGCCGCCGGCAACTTCCACACCACCATCGCCGGCGGCGCCGTCTACCGCAGCCACACCACCGCCACCGGTCACCGCGCCGCCTGCAACGCCGCTCGCCGCCGCG